TAATGAGTGTAGAAATATCATGGGATTGTAACTTTGATCCATTAGCTGCGCATTGTGAGCCAAAGTATTCTTTCAGAAGGTCGGTTGATTTATAAATTAGAAATCATCATCATCATCATCATCATCATTGTCATCATCATCATCATCATCATTGACATCATCATCATCATTGTCATCATCATTGATATCATCATCATCATCAATGATATCACTGGCATCATCATCAATGATATCACTGGCATCATCATCAATGATATCACTGGCATCATCATCATTATCCGCCCCCTCAACATCATCAAATATATCATCACTGAATAGCACCACCAATGAACCTCATCATCATCATTATCATAATCAGTGTCACCATCGTCAATATCACCATCATCAAGCATTATCGTCATTAACTTCCTCATTATCAATCATGCAGTATAAAATTCATGAATCATCATCATCATCATCAGATAATCTATGTCTTCAATATATTTCAACTCATCATCATCGCCCTTGTCACGGCCATCTTCACTATTAAGTTTCTTCTCACGCTTCATCCTCTTCGCCTTGTCATTATCATTACCGTAATATTCATCACCATCTTCATACTCAACGATATTGTCATCACCATCATTTTTTTCTATCACCTCTGTCTATTATTTGCTTCTGATCTGCTTCTGTCTCTATTCGTGTCGGTCATAACTACACTGTCATCATCTAGGATCAAAGCCCATCGACACCGTCACCTAACTTCAACACTCAGTATGTTGGCAATAATTCTTATTGAATTCTTCATTTTCGTTCTTTTTCGTTTACGTTTAGATCGCCGAAAAGGAAAACTTGGTTCGAAAAATACAGGGTGATCTGTTGACAGAGAAAGAGCAACACGCACAACGTGTTCAGCAGGTCAGACTTAAGATGATATTAAATATACCAGACTATATCGAAAATAGATGGGCAGACAGACAGGTAATCAGAATGGAAGCCAGATGGAGAAATATGCAAGGCAGTCAGGCAGACGTTCATCAAGAGGATGAACAACCACATAGCAAAGACAGTCTCTTAGAGAGCAGACGGACATGCATGCGGACGGACGGACAAATGGATCAGCAATGACATACAGACGAATACATAGACAGGCAAGAGATTAGCGAAGGCAGATAGTCTTCAAGAGGTTTTAAAGACAGACATTTGGATGGAAATCCAGGTAGACTGATTGAAGAACAGACAATTCCTTTTTGTCCTCATATATGTTAACAATATTCGTACTTGTAGGTTACCTATTATGAAGAACGTTTACAAGACTTCGAGATGGAGATAGGGAGTTTGAAAGAAGAAAGACGACAGGCTTCACAACAGGTGACGAACTAGACCCCTCTTGTGAGAACAGTATTGATTCACATGTTTAACTACACTCCATCGACTGTTGATTGGCCGTCGGTTTCAACATTTGATTGTCGTCACCATGGCAAAGAGCAAATTTACATGTATTGTCTACATTATTACCATTGTCATCACTATCCTCATCGTTTTCGTCATCATCATCATTGTCATCATCAATTTCGTCATCATTATCAGCATCGGCATTATCATCATCAACAACACCATCATCGTTGTCATCATCACCATCATCAACTTTGTCATCACCTTATTATCGTTATCATCATCATCATAATTATCATTACCACCATCAACATTAATTTCATCGTCATCACCTAGCTAGCGTTTTATCTTCAAAGTACGTCGCCAGCTAAATCATCAATTATGATTCATCACGACCCAGGTCATATTTTCATTCTTGCGTTCAACGTTGACATCATCATTAACATCATCATCGTCTTCATCTTCATCTTCATCATCATTATCATTATCATCATCCTACATTATCTTGATGATTTCGTTTTTTCGTATGAACATTACCTCAGATCTCGAGGAGTGAACAAGCCATCCAACAACTACAGAAAGAAATGTCTGCAACTAAACATAAACACCGCAGTGAGGTCAGTTAGGCTGTCTACTATTCTCTTGTCATCCAACTTTGAAAATTATTGCAAATAAAAATTCAAAGTTAGATTCGGTTAGTTACCGAAGTGCAAAGCGAATGCATGCATGGATCAACTTTATTTTGCTTTATACACAATGAACAAAGGTAAAGAAAATATGGCAAAGTACTTGTAGGGTACCATGTTTGCCTTCAGCATTGAATAGATTTTAAATACCACCTAACATTGCCTTGCTATCTTCATTAGATCCTGAGGAACGAAGAGTTGATTCGTAACATGGAGATCGAGATCAACAACTCCCAGAACGATAACAAATCCCTTGCTCAAGAAGTGAGTGACATGAACAAATATGTGACGTAGGTGTTGTGTGACTTATTAGCACAGGCACTCTCTCTTGGAGCAGTTAGTTTGATACTACAACAGTGACTGACATAGACGATAGCATTGTCACATGACCTAACATTGACATGGCTTCCTTTTAATCTTTTGTCATCTCATCCTTCACTCACGCTTTATGTGACGTGCTAACGTTGACATGGCTTCCCCTCAATGTCTTTGAATGTCTCATCCAATCATATTCAACACTGACTGACTTGTGACGTATGCAGGCTATAATATGCAGTAACATTGACATGGCTTCCCATAACTCTCTTTGAATCTCATCCAGTCATATTAAGCACTGATTGACTTCTGACATTGACATGGCTTCCCATAACTCTGTGCGGTCCCATCCAATCTACTGACTGCTGACGTATAGACATTATGGCAGGCTGTAACATTGACATGGCTTTGTATAACTCTCATCCAATCACTCGACGACACAGACTATTTACATACGTAAAATATGTGGCTATGATAGCCTAATTAACATTGACAAACGTGCGTCACATCCAATCATCGCCCTTGTAGAGCTAGATAGAAAAAACGACTTTTTCGTTTGAGAAAAATTGTGAGAGACGTACCTTTGCTTTTTGACCAAGGCTTTCTTTTCAAATCAGATGGCCCAGTTGAACGTTAAACTTACCGCGACACAAAACACCTTGACCAGCAGAGAGCAAGAATTGAGGGACAAAAATCAGGAGGTAACGATAAGATGTGGCGATGAAACCAGCTTATTGAGATGTGTCTGTCTGCGTCTTCTGGCTATGTCTGTTTGTCTGTCTGTGTCTGTCTGTCTGTCTGTGTGCCTGTGTCTGTCTGTCTATGTCTGTCTACATCAATCTTTAGTACCGCTCATTAGAAATAACCTAATCGTCAGTGTAAAACAGAACGTCGCCATTCAGCATCCTTTGTGTCTGTATCGTATGTATTTTAAGCCCCCTTGAAAGATTGCAATTCAACAAGTTAAACTCGTGGATTTATTTTGCAGCTTTTTAACTGTGAACAAACTATAGCAGATCTAAGTGAACAGTTGGCGTCTCTTAAAGTAGAACACAAGCAGCTGAGCACCGAGGTAAAGAAACAGCCCGTTATGAACCCTCTCGAAAACGGCCACTCTTTATTCGAGTATACATGGTCGGTTATTCCAGGTTTTACTGAAACGTGGAAATCGGTCTACCATTGAACTTTCCGTTCTAAAGCCTTTCGTATACATCAACCTCTTGAGTGCGGAGCTCATGGTCGGTTATTTCAGGTTTTGATCTTGTTCTCACGACGTACACTGCAAATTTAAAAGTACCAAAAGTGGACAATGAGTGGTGTAGTAGATATTTTATTAAATCGTCACCTTAAATGGAAAATGTGGTAACTGTAGTCAGTTGTAACTAAAACGTATACGAGTATGAATGTATATATTAAGTCATCACCTCTAAATGATTGTTATCGAATCTCTTTTTTTTAAGAACGCTAAACGCAAGGAACGGCTTGGTCAAGTAGAGTCAGATCTAGCGACTGTTAGAGAACAGCTGAAGGAAAAAACACAAGAGGTAAGGTCACAGGTCACATGATTCCGAATTCAAGCGTCGTGATTGGATGACTTGTCTTTCTCTTAACGTTAGATTGGTCAAGAGTGAAAAAGCCATTTGATAGTCATGTCACCAAACGTTTAAGTATCGTGGTTGGATGACTTGTCTTTCTCGTAACGTTAGATTGGTCAAGAGTCATAAAGCCATTTGTTTAAGCATGGTGATTGGATGACTTGTTGGTCCATCAATTGATGGCCGTGTTAGCAAAAATTTCCACTCATGCAGAATTTCTCTCCCTCTAGCTCGCTCACAGCGATGAGAAACTCATTCTGTTAGATCAAAACCTTACATCGACACAGGAACAGCTCAGCGCACGTGTAGCCGAGGTAAGTAAAACTTGCGGAGGAATTTCTCGCAGCATTTTGACGAAAGGCTATGAGTAGGGGATTGTCTCCCGGTTCAACAGCCTATCCCTATTTTGAGGCATAACTCTAATGTACTAGCAATTCACTTATGATTGTAAGTTGCACGGCTGCTAATAGCGCCTGAATATGCAGTCCGTAAAGTCCTCCACTGGTTATAATTGTAAAGCGCATTAAGACAACTGTGAAATGCGCTATATAAGAACCTCCCATTATTATTTCCGTTCGAAAACATAACGAAGCCCTTCTGAAACCAGGGTAGAAAATATATATGGTCTTTCTTTATAAATCAAATTGTTTATGGGAAATGGTGCGTATATTGTTTTGTTTTTTTTTAATTCTAGGCTGTTCGATTGGAGAAGGTGAACAGAAAATTCCAAATGGAGTTGAAAAAAACCAACGAGCTACAACAGAAACAGGACAAACAGGTTTGTACTCGTAACCCACTCCATCGAACACCAGATACTTACTTATTACACGAACAGAGATGAAGTGCGCCTGTGAACTGCGATTCAGCAAAGACGAAACGGTCTCAAGAGAACGGAACGACCTCCTACTTTTACGTGCGCGCTCTCATCTTCAACTATGACTTCATCACCAGGACGTGAATAATCTACTATTGATAAGTTCTTTGAGTCTTTGAGCACTGCTACCACGTTCTCTTTCACGCGCGCCTCAAGGGTTTATGGACGATGAACTACAAATAACGTCCTAATGATGACGTTGACCTTGAAGGTGACGATTGTCGGCCGAAGGTCATACTGGACAGATCACATGGATAGCGCGTGATGGAGTTGACCCATTAGAAACCAATAGCGTTGATCGATATCGCGGTGACTACCGTTATAAGAATATAATTTTATATCACAAATGTGAATTATTTTCTGTTACAGATTACTGAGCTTGAAGGGTATCTTGAACAACTCAAGGCAGATCTTAAAGTATCGCAACAGCGACATCAGGCTAGTGTAGAAGAGGTAATGCTTTTAACTGTCCGTTCTTTTCCAGAATCGCAGTGGATCGTATTTTATGACATATGTTTTATCTTGTTACCAGGCTGACGCATACGAAGAAAGAGCGAGGAACCTGGAACTAGAACTTGAAATCACTCAAAAAGAATTACAAGTGGTGAGAGATGAGGTAAGTGGTGGGAATGACTTACGGCAGGACTCTACAAGGCACAAGTAATGTACTTTATACATTGATTTCTATTTTATATAGTATTCCGAGCAACTTCTCACGACTCAAGAAAAGGAAGCACAACTGACACAATACAAGACACAGATACAAGAGGCTCAGAAACATGTAAGAAAAACTGTTACACGTTTTACTGGATGTTATCTAGATATTATATTGATACTGAGCACACTAAACTAGACGGTAGATTTAACGTACGATAGGTTTTTGCGCGCGGAATCCAGCGCGGACGTAGAGAGATTACAATAGAGTATAATCGTAGTGGTGCTTGAGTGATCATTGAGGCGCATTTACTTTGCACGCAAATCGTCATTAAATGTACGCCCTCGCCATCGTTACATCGTTACTCCAACATCAATACATGTGCATCTCCACCATCAATACATGTGCATACCACCATCAATGCATGTGCATACCACCATCAATACATGTGCATACCACCATCAATACATGTGCATACCACCATCAATACATGTGCATACCACCATCAATATATTTGCATACCACCATCAATACATGCGCATACCACCATCAATACATGTGCATACCACCATCAAT